TTGAAGAAGCGGTTCCATATTCAGTAGCATTATTTCTTCTATATTTGAATGAAGTCGTATACCCAGATACTTCATACCTGAAGGAACCCATTTAAAGTTAAATTGTGTAATATAATTTGAGTGACATGTTTGGGATATGGGCATACATTCAGACTTGTTCCAATTAATCTTGTATCCTGAAAATTTTGAATATAATTCAACACACTGCAATAGTGCTGGGACAAAAATATTTGGGTCAGCTATAACAGCTAAGATGTCATCTGCATACATAAGCAACTTGTGCTCTTTTCCTCCTGCCAGAACACCTTTAATTTTTGGATTGATTCTTATCACAACTGCTAATGGTTCTATGACCAGCGTGAAAAGCAGTGGGGATAAAGCACAGCCTTGTCTTGTCCCTCTAGAGAGATGAAAAAATTCAGATATCTGTCCGTTCGTCATAATTGCTGCTTTTGGTTTAGAATATAATATTTCAACCCATTTACAAAATGTACCACCAAATCCACATCATCCGCAAAAAGCAGAGATGAATCCTAAGGCCACCAAAACGGATCCCCTTAACACCCTGGCTGCGCCTAGAAATTCTGTCCATAAAAGTAATGAACAGAATCGGTGACAAAGGGCAGCCCTGGTGGAGTCCAACCCTCACCGGAAACGAGCCCGACTTATTGCCGACAATGCAGACCAGACTCTGACACCGGTCATACAGGGACCTGACAGCCCCTATCAAAGCGCACGGTACCCCATACTCCGGGAGAACCCCTCATAGGGCACCCCGAGGGACACGGTCGAACACCTTCTCCAAGTTCTCAAAGCACATGTAGACTGGTTGGGAAAACTCCCATGCACCCTCCAGGACCCTGCTGAGGGTGTAGAGCTGGTCCAGTGTTCCACGACTAGGACAAAAACCACACTGCTCTTCTAAAATCCGAGGTTCGACTATCCGATGGACCCTCCTCTCCAGGACCCCTGAATAGACCTTGCCAGGGAGGCTTAAGAGTGTAATCCCTCTATAATTGGAGCACACCCTCCGACCACCACCCCAGTCTGCCAATCCAGGGGAACTGCCCCCGATGTCCATGCAATACTGCAAAGTCGCGTCAACCAACACAACCTTACAGAGCCTTAAGATACTCCGGGTGAATCTCATCCACCCCCGGGGCCCTGCCACCGAGGAGCTTTTTAACTACCTTGGCGACCTCGTCCCCAAAGATTGAAGAGCCCAACCCAGAGTCCTCAATGGAAGGCATGTTGGTAGGATTGAGGAGGTCTTCGAAGTACTCCGCCCACCAACCCACAACGTCCTGAGTCGAGGTCAGCAGCACACCACCCCCACTATAAACAGTGTTGATGCTGCACTTCTTCCCCCTCCTGAGATGCCGGATTGTGGACCAGAATCGTCTTGAAGCCATATGTTAGTCTTTCTCCATGGTCTCTCCGAACTCCTCCCACGCCCGAGTTTTTTGCCTCAGCAACCACCCGAGCCACACGCCGCTTCGCCTGCCGGTATTCATCAGCTGATTCCAGAGTCCCACGGGCCAAAAAGATCCGATAGGACTCCTTCTTCAGCCTGACAGCATCCCTCACCGAAGGTGTCCACCAACGGGTTCGAGGGTTGCCACCACACAGGCACCGAAAACTTTGCGACCACAGCTCTGATGAGCCGCCTCGACAATGGAGGCACAGAACATGGTCCACTCAGACTCAATGTCCCCCACCTCCCCCGGGACGTATTCGAAGCTCTGCCGGAGATGGGAGTTAAAGCTCCGTCTCACAGGGGACTCCGCCAGACGTTCCCAGCAGACCTTCACAACACGTTTGGGCATGCCAGGTCTGACCTGCATCCTCCCCCACCATCAGAGCCAATTACCACCAGGTAGTGATCAGTGGACAACTCCGCACCTCTCTTCGCCCGAGTGTCCAAGACATACGGCCACAGATCCGACGAAACAATGACAAAATCGATCATCGAACTGCGCCCTAGGGTGTCCTGGTGCCAAGTGCACATATGGACACCCTTATGCCTGAATATGATGTTTGTTATGGACAATCCGTGACGAGCACAGAAGTCCAACAACAGAACACCACTCTCGCGTTCAGATCGGAGGGAGCGTTCCTCCCAACCACACCCCTCCAGGTCTCACTGTCGTTGCCCACGTGAGCATTGAAGTCTCCCAGGAGAACGAGGGAATCCTTAGAGGGGGCACTCTCCAATACCCCCTCTAAGGACTCCAAAAAGGGTGGGTAGGCTGAACTGTCCTTTGGCCCGTCAGCACAAACGACAGTCAGAACCCGTCCCCCACCCGTAGGCAGAGGGAGGCTACCCTCTGGTTCAACGGGGTAAACCCCAACGTACAGGTGCTGAGATGGGGAGCAACAAATATGCCCCACCCCTGCTCGACGCCTCTCACCGTGGGCAACTCCAGAGTGGAAGTACATCCAGCCCCTCTCAAGGAGGGGGTTCCAGAACCGGAGTCATGCGTCGAGGTGAGACCGACTATTTGAGCTGTGGATCATTTGGTTCTCAACCAAATGATCAGGGTGAGAGTCTGCCAACAAGACACCTATCACTGATCTGATCTGGTCTTTATGGAAGCATGACAAGAAGAAAACCATCATTAAAGGAAACCATAATAATTCCTGTTCGCTGTTTGCTAGAATCCATGTTGGACACAGCAAAGACGTGGGAGAAGCAGCTTTGGTCAGACCAGAAGATAAATGGCAAAAATGCAAAATACCAGGAGATCCAATACTGTACATTAACAGACCATCCCAGTGTATGGTGGTGGCAGCATCATGCTCTGGGATGCTTCTCTTCATCAGGGAAGATGGTCAGGGTTGAAGTGGAAATGGATGAAGCCAAATACAGAGAGAATCTATGAGAATCTATAGACTGAGAATTATGTTTGTAATGTGACAAAATGGAAAAATTCAAGCAGTGCAAATAATTCAGAAAGCAAAGACCAGACAGACAACTGAGAGGAGGCGAGAAGGAGACGGGAAGGAGGCGAGAAGGAGGTGAAAGCAGCTCTGATTATCCTCATATTACATCATAATGTGATAATAACCTTTACCCTATAATGTTATCATCACAGGGAGATTTAGTTTTATACACAAACCTGCACATAGAGAAACTTTCCAAACAGGCCAGCAATTCATGAAGGGATGAAACTACAACAAGAGTAAAATGAAAGGCTCATGTTAAACCTATGATCATCTTAGCACTGATCAATTGTTTAATATTTATACAGCCAGGATTAAATTTAAATCATTCAAGCCTGAATCCACGTCTGACACTGCAGACGCAAAACCAGAGACGGAATCAGAAGGATTCCATCTCAGAACATGCAGCTTTCAGGTCAAACCCTTTAATAACGCAGAATTAAAAAAAAACTTTTCAAAACCTGATGCTTGTAAATATAACGAGGAACAGCAAATACCTGCAGCGATGAGGAAGAATGATAAGAATATTTCAAGTCAAATGACAACAGACTTTCCTTTTCACCTTCCAGGGTTTCCTCCAAAAACTTGTTGAAACCGATGGCAGGGTCATTAAGGTCATTAAGGTCATTAAGGTCATTAAGGTCATTCATCAGCAGCCTGCTGTGTGCTTGGGTTAAAAAATGTTAAGTTACCAAAATCCAGAGATGCACAATTAGGCATCATAATTCAGAAGTGAAAGCTTGAGGAACCAACATGCAGCTGGACAGACGGACAACTGATTCAGAACCTGAGATTCAGAACCTGAGATTCAGAACCTGAGATTCAGAACCTGAGATTCAGAACCCGCACAGCCAGTTCAATGGAGCATCTATAACCCAGAGCTTAGTCTGTGTTCACCGTCACTGAAGAATAAAAATCCATTTTTAAATAAACTAACATTTAGCTGTTGGGAGACAAATAAAGCCTGGTGGGCTGCCAGGCTGAAAACACTGGAGAAATTTGATTTCTGTCTATATTTCTAGTTCTATTCAGTGACTGTCTATATTTCTATGTTTCTCTGGGATCTTGGTCCGATGCCTCACTAGGACCCGTCCCCCGTTGGACCGACCCAACAAACCACGAAGCCTCTCAGGCTCCCAGGATCTCTGGGACGCTCAACCCCTGCACCACCACAAGGTGGCAGAACAGGCCAACTGATCTGGGAGAAGCCTGAAGGTGGCGCTCTACAGACAGCATATAAATTGAATTAGAATGTTTTCTCACATTCAGGGTCAAACAGGACCTGACCTCTCCTGACCTGTTGTGTCTCTGCTCTCCTCTCAGCTCCAGTCGTGGCTGATGGTTCAAAACCTCTCTGCCTCACGACAAACTGAGAATGCATGTGGTGACAATAGAGAGGAAAAACTAACAGGAAGACTCCTCCACAGAACCTCCAGAGGCTGAGTAGGAGAGGTCAACTGTCGTGACCCCTGGGGGGTTAGAAAGGACAGAGAGAGAAGATCTGCTGCAGGAGTTTCTGTTGGAGGAAAATTTCCCTCAAACTCCTGCAGTGGATTCATGTCTGTTGGTTCTACAAAGTAGCTGCATCTGAGAGAAACTGGGTTAAAAACACTAAACAGGATGCAGTGGATCATCTGGAGTTCATCTGAAACCTGCAAATAAATAAATGTTCACACTGCAATAAAATTACCTGTGACCTTTGACCTGCAGCTGATCTCTCGTTGTCCAGATGAAACCGCATGCGGCTGCGTTTTTTTCAACACCAAAATAAATTTATTCTGACGTTCTCGGTGCTTCAGCAGATTTTCTATCAAATCCTTTTTTACTCCAGTAATTTCCTGGACGTTTCACTTTCACTAGTTACAACGTGTTGAAGTCGCTTCACTCCTTCAGTTTTGTGGGAACTTTTCCTCCACCAGGTTTGAACGTCCTGGAAACCAGTTTGAGTGAAACTGGTTCAGTTCTTCTGATGGAACAAAATGGCCGACCGGCCTCAGCACCATTAAACCTTCACATGTTAAAAATACATTTTAAGGAACTAAATTAATTAGTCAAACATTTTGTCACTGTTTATTTTAATTCACATATGCAAACATGTAAAAACAATTTATATACAATTATTTTAAACACTGGAGAATATTACAAAAAATGTCATTTGAGTTTACAAAATGTAAAATCATGCAAATGACAAAAAGTTTTATTCAACAGACAGAAAAGCATCAGGAGAAATAAATACACGTTAAACTGATGAGGACGTTGTTGGTAACAAACCCTCAAAGTAAAAAGCTTCAGTTTGTTTCCGTCTGAATGTGAAGCTTTGCAACATCTGAGAAACTCAGAAACTTTTCCTGAACGGTTTGATCAAATTTGTCCCAAAAACCAGCAGCAGACCCTGAAAACGTTGCCAGAAACAAACAGATTCTGAGTCATTGGATCACAGAACCGGTTCTGGTTTCCATGTTCTTCATTTGTTCTGATCAAAAGGCTCCAATAACTTCAGATTCATTCAATATAAACCGACATTAACTGGGATTTTCTCAACATGATCAATCAGTTTTTGATCCTGATCCGGTTCGGTCATCAAACCAAACCGGATCAGGTTCAGGTGATACAGTCCATACCTTCTGCCCAAGTGGAGCCATCTAGTGGCTCAGCTTTAGATTGCACTTAAATCCACAGGATCCTGCAGGAGTTTCAGAGAAACTGCAGCAGAAACTGGAAAAATGTTCCTTTAATACGCCGTTAAGATGCATCACATGAAAAGAGCTTTAAGATGATCCTTCAGAAGATAAACATCTGGTGATGCAGTTAGTGTCATAAAGGCAGTTCAATAAAAACACTTTTGGCAAAAAAAAGTTTTTGTTGCTTTATGTTTAGAAGCAAAAAAATCTGATTTATATCCTGGATTTTAAAGAAACGTTTAAAAATACTCAGTTTTTAATGAGATGAACTTGAGTCCAAAAATCATCTAAAATCAAACCCTAATTTCATCATAACTTCCAGATTATTCCCATAAATCATTCAAGGTGCTTTGGACCAACAAGTTCTCCAGTTTTTATGCTTTTTCTCTCATTTCCAGAAACTTTAACTCAGATTCAAATCATCCAGAAAAATCATAGAAACTGAAATCATGATGGCAGCGTGGCGTCTAGCCAGTGCGCTAACATGATTAAAATGTTTCTTTACTGTTTAAATACACTCACTCCTTGTTAGCCGCTAGCATGGCTAACGCTAATTAGCAGCCTAACGATTTGTTCAGGTAAAACCAACATGTGGAGACAGATCAGTTTATTAAAGTCTAGATCTGGACTGAAAGTTTGTAGATGTGACCTCATGATGCTACAAACTAATAAATGATGCAGGTTCAAAAACAAACAGAAAATGCAACAGAAAAAGCCTGCAGATAAAAAAAATAAACAATCTTTCTCCCACAGAACAAAAGGGAAAATGCTGCAAACTGTAAAAATGAGCAAAAGCTGCAAACAAACTGAAGTGCTCCTAACCAGCAGGGGGCGCCTGGAGTCTGTCATATAACATGTTAACCTGCTGTGGTTATATAATGCAATACATTCTGAAAACATTGTGAAGTCAAACATCCTCTCTTTGTCCAGCTTTCTTCCAGTCGCCGCCCCCTGGTGGTCTGGAGGTCTTCAGGTTTATGAAGCCAGTTTGCAGCGTTTTCCATTCTGATTCATTTCCTGCTGAAATTTTACCAGCTCCGTTTCTCTGCTTTGCTTCCTCCAGAGGATCTGGACTCAGATCACTTCCTGTTTCCTCTGTTGACATTTTAAAATTTACACCATCATTAATATTTGGCTGCGACGTACATAATGACATGAAGTTCACCAGAAATGGTCTGTCCTGTGGACAACCGTCCTCCACTGTGAAGAGCGAAAAGCTGATCTGAACGGTTAATAATTTAATATTTGGAAATGTGACCATTAACTGACCTTCACTTTCTCTGCTGCCGGCGCTGAAGCTACAGATGAACTACGACTCTGAAATTATTGTTTAGAACTTCTTCTGTTTGCTGATTGGCCTAAAATTTTTCTGGAGGAATCCAAATCAAAGGGAGGAATCCCAGACTCTGCAGTGTGGAGCTGAGAATCGAGTGGAAGGAAACAGCCACTGTTTCCTGTGATGCAGCCATTTTGGTTTGCATTCAGGTTTTTGGCATTTGCAGCAGATTTACAGCCGTCAGTCACCAAAGTTCACTGGAAAAGGAGTCAAAACTGGACCGAGGCCTTCAGGAACGTCTGGAGAACCGTTGATTCAAACCAGTGAAAGATTTCAGGAACGTCTGGATCACAGGAAGTGGGTGGTTTAAAACTTTTGCACAATACTGACCAGAGGTTTCCTGTTAACTTGGGTTTGAACTGAAATCTGTTCTGACCATCAGAAAAACCATAAAGGCTGCAGCAGAACTGAGCTTCACCAGATATTAGTCTGCACCCGGAACCGAAAGCCAGGCCCAGAACCGAACCAGAACCCAGGGTCAAAGGTCCAAAACGTGCAGCAAGCCGGTCCGTCGGGTCTCATAGTGAAGTCCAACCCTGGTTCTGAGTATCTGGTACCAGCTGCTGGTTCTGGACCTTCAGAAATCCTGGAGGTTCTGTTGAGCTGAAAGACCGGTTCTGCTGAGCCCGACCCGGAGAAGCAGAACCAGAACCGGATGTTCTCCTGTAGAGAAGTTAAACACTGACAGGAAGTGGGTCTCGTCACTTCCTGCTCCATCAAGGTCCAAAAGGTTCTGATGATAAAAACCGAAGCAGACGATCTCTCCTCCAGCAGTCGTCTATAGTGTTGAAAGGTTTCGGCTCCTCCTCCAGACGATCAATGAAACGATATTTTCTGATCAGTTCGGAAGGAAGAGGAGGATCGTTGCCATGACGGACGATGAAGCAGGTTTGACCTTTGACCCGGCCCTCAGTCTGCCCTCCTACCTGGGCCCAGGTTAGCAGTTCTCCTGCAGGTCTTTGGCCTTGGTCAGGATGAGGTGGACGTCTGAGATGGGATAATCCTGCAGAGAGAAGAGATCCAGAAATAAACCAGAGCAGAAAATCCAGAAACTTTACCGAGAAATTCTGATCATAAACCAGAATATGAAGCAACGAGATGATGTTTGATTTTAAACTCTGAAATAAAACAATAGATCAATAAAACATTTTAAAACTGAATTCACATTTTGGATCAATAAGTTCTTTATTGATCTGGTTCTGGATGAACTTCCTTCAGTTTGATCAAACTGATCAGTTTGATCAGATGGAATATTTCTTCAATAAATTATTTTGACCTGATCACAAAAACACCAGCAACGAGGCGATTCACTCATTTATGACATAACAGATTAGAAACTAAATATTTTAATTATTTTGTCAAATATCAAAAGAACCAAGAATAACCATCTTCAAAATGTTGAACAAAGTCATTGATCAGATCAATAATCGGTTCCAGTCACTGATCAGATCAATAACCGGTTCTGGTTCCAGTCATTGATCAGATCAATAACCAGAACCGGTCATTGATCAGATCAATAACCGGTTCCAGTCATTGATCAGATCAATAATCGGTTCCAGTCACTGATCAGATCAATAACCGGTTCTGGTTCCAGTCATTGATCAGATCAATAACTGGTTCTGGTTCCAGTCAGGAGTTAAAAGCTCTCAGCGTTTCGGTTGTTTTTCAGTTTACTAGAACTTTGTTCCAGATTTGTGGTGAATAGAATCTGAATGCAGCTTCGCTCCATCTGGTTCTGGTTCTGGTTCTGGTCGCAGAACCAGAACCAGAACTCCTGAGAGACCTGGAGGGTAGCTATGACAACAGCAGCAGGTCTTTAAACGTTCAGCGAGATCAGATATAGAGACTAAACGTCTGAGAGTTTATAGAAGGCTGATTTTGGAACCATCTTTATGTGGCTCTGAAGGTCAAGGTCAGAGGTCAGCCTGGTTTCCAAATGGATGAACTGAAGCCATGTGACTCTAGAGCTATAACTTCAGATCAGAAAGTTTTGGCATATTCACATTTCTCTGCTGTCAGCATCTGATGAGGTCAGAGGTCAGCTGCTGACTAACCCCAGCACTGCGCCCTGAGGAACCCCACATGTGATGTTGGTTCATTCAGCAGGGGATCATGATCCTCACCTGCAGGAGCCTCATGTTGGTGGTGAAGTCTCCGGACAGCAAGCTGTCCCGGATCAGTCTGGACAGGAGGACAGAGAGACGGGTCAGAGTTCAGCTACAGTAACGGGTCGGGACCAGAACCCGGACCAGAACCCAGAGCCTCACATGAGCATGGCGCAGCAGACCAGCAGCAGGAAGTGGAAGCGGTCCCGGTCGGAGAACAGGGAGTCCCAGATCCGGATGACGTCCGGCAGCAGGAACTCCTGGGACAGCAGCAGGGTGAGCCAGCGGAAGGTGAAGTACTGAGGCTTGATGTTCTGCTCCTCCTGTGGGACAACACCAGAACCGGTTATGGGCCGGGCGGTACCAGGACCGGTTATGGGCCGGGCGGTACCAGGACCGGTCACGGCCCGGCGGGCGGCGCCAGGACCGGTCACGGCCCGGCGGGCGGTACCAGGACGTCTCGGGTCAGTTGGCGGTACCAGGACCGGTTTATGGCCGGGCGGTACCGGTCACGGCCCGGCAGGCGGTACCAGGACCGGTCTCGGGTCAGTTAACGGGTCCGAGGGTGAATAGAGAACTCAGTCTGAGTTCACAAGCTGATGTTAGCATGTTAGCATTGAGCTTCTACCTGCTACTGGGTCATAAACATCTACGCTCAGCCTGGAGGGGCAAATAAAGCCTGGTGGCTGCCAGGCTGAAAATCTGCTGGAAACCCTCATTTAAACACAAATGAATGAAAAAAAAACTAAATTTATTGGGATTTTTTTGATTAAATCATTTCTATTTAAACTTATTTTAAAATATAAATTAAATACATAAAAGTTTGATCTTTCCGGAGCGATTCCAGACCGGACCGGTTTGCTCCTCTTCCTCGGCGCGGTGGTACCAGTTTGAGGAAGAGGAGCGCTGCGCGGTGGTACCAGTTTGAGGAAGAGGAGCGCGGTGGTACCAGTTTGAGGAAGAGGAGCGCGGTGGTACCAGCATGAGGAAGAGGAGCGCGGTGGTACCAGCATGAGGAAGAGGAGCGCGGTGGTACCAGCATGAGGAAGAGGAGCGCGGTGGTACCAGCTTGAGGAAGAGCTCGTGGTCTTTGTCCCGCAGCATGGCGTAGACGCTCTCCATCCTGCAGGTGATGCCGCACTGAGAGTCGTCCAGACTCTTGATGAAGTTGTCGCGGTTCTCTGACATCAGGTTGGTGAAGCAGAAGAAGGTGTCGGCCTCGGCGTGCTCTGCGGGTCAGAGCACAGTCAGAACCAGAACCAGCACACCGGAACCAGAACCGGAACACCAGAACCTTTCCAGGAGCTGCTGGGGTCGGTGGCGAAGGTGTAGTAGATGGGGCCGACGATCTCGTTCATCCCCTGGACGTAGGCGATGCCGGGTTCAGCTTGGCGTAGATGAAGAGGATCCGCTCCACCACCTCCCAGTGCCTCGCTGCCGCTGGGCAGAACCTCGTACTCGTTGGACGGGTACAGGTTCAGAGCCTTCCCTGGAGAGCTGACCTGGACCCGCAGAACCAGGGACCGGGTTCAGGTCAGAGGTCAGAACCAGGAGGTTAGATAGAGAAGAACTAAATCGTTCTGATCCAGTTCCCACATATTAACAACAATAATATTGAACATTTCTTCTAAGTTTCTCTTTCTCACATCAGAAGCAAAACTTATTAAAATATATTGTTGGTATTTGAGGCAAGAAATAAATAAATGATTGTATTAATAAATACAACAATACATACGTTTTAACTTTTTGTTTAACATTTGTATTTTAAATAAATTTATTGGTTCCTTTATTCATCTGGTATCTTTGTGTCGATTGGTTTATTTTTCCCTTTATTTATAAATTAATACCACAAGAAATATTATTCATCTTCATAACTCAGAGACCAGAACCAGTTTTGTTCTGCCCAGTCAGAACAGCGCCCCCTGCTGACTCACGTTGGTGACTCCGCTCCGGTTCCGGTTCACGGTTTGGGCCTTCAGCGTGGTTTGCTCCACGCGGCGCCGCAGCGTCTCGCTCGTTCTGCGGGTCCAGGATCAGCTGGCACGGATAGTCTGTGGGCCGCTGGAAGAACGCCATGTCCGGGTACAGCCGCCTGCAGAACCGAGCCGGATCAGAACCGACCCGGACCAGAACCGACCCGGGAACCGGTCCGGGTTCTTACCTCACATCCTTGTCGATCTGCAGCAGAATCTCGTTATCCTTGAAGTACGTGTTCCAGCGGCTGTCCGGGTTCGGGTTCAGCGGCTGCAACGGAAAAAGTCCCGGTTCTGACTGGACCGGTTCTGACAGACCCAACTGGACCGGTCTACCAAAACCAGGTAGAACTGGTACAACTAGCTGGTACCAGTTCAACTAGCTGGTACCAGTTCTACTAGCTGGTACCAGTTCTACTGATTACGCAATCGGGGCCTTCCAGAACCATCCATCAGAATCAAAGCCAGAACCAGAACCAGAACCGGGTCAGTACTCACATGGTCCTCCAGCGTGACGTCGGCTCTGGACAGGCCCAGGTTGGCCTTGGCGATACCGGGCTGGATGATCATCTCTCTGAGGAACTGGGAGTAGACCTCTCTGTGGAGACAGGACCGAGGATCGGACCGGACCGGACCGGGAGCAGACCAGGACCGGACCGGTCTGAACCAGACAGTACCAGATAAGACTGGATCAGACTGGAACTTTTCTACTGAATGACAGGATCAGGCGGTTCTGATTCGGTATGGACCAGACCTCCAGGTCCGATATGCAACAGGACTCAGAACCAGCGAGTCGGGTCGTCCATCAGCTGATGCTGAACAAGCAGCTAATGATTATTACTAATCAATTATTTGGCTGATTGACAATAATCAATCATTGTAACAAAAAGGTTATTAACAGCAGGGTTCTGCAGAATCTGGATCGGCGGATTCAACCAGTGAAGCTTCTTCTTCTACCCAGTGAGCAGCGCTGGAGTTAAGCTCCGCCCCCTGCTGGCCGTTAGAGGCATGACAACCTGAAGCCCGACCCGCTCGGCCCGGTTCTCCTACCTCTGCTTCTTCAGGAAGGAATCCCATAACGTCTGGTCCAGAGGCAGGTAGTTCAGCAGAATCTGGAGGACAAACGAACCGGATCAGAACACGGCCGGTACTTTCCATCAGGAAACAGAAGTCATTACAATAAATACAACAGAAACGCAGGAAGTTCCGGGCCGGTCCTGGTCTAATCCTGGACCGGTTCCAGGCTGGTTGTGGCCTGTTCCTGGCCCGGTTCTGGACCGGTGTCTAAACCGGTTCTGGACCTTCCTGTGAGTGAAGCTCACCTTCCAGCACAGCGAGCGCAGTCCTTCCTCATGAGGGATTCCTGAGGGAAACAACCAGAGTCAGATAGAACCAATCAGAGCAGAGCGTCTACTGGCTGGAGGTCAAAGGTTACCGCTGAAGCTCAGCTCCCTCAGCGTCGTCAGGTTGATGCTTTCCTCTCCCAACGCCGATTTGAACTCTTGGATCCTGAGGAACAGAAACATTTATAGAATAAAGTAAGTAGAAGCAAATCAATCCTGGCCAAAGCCAAACATATTCTGAATAATAAATCTCTTCATATTCTATAAAACTCTCTGACTTTGCCATACTGAACATGTTCAGAGGTTTGGGGAATTAATGACTAAAGCTCTTACAGTTCCTACAGAAACATGACAATCATCCATAATGTTGGTTATGAGACCACAAACCCCTTAGCACTAAAATCTAAAACTCTTCAACTGAAGAGCTGCTGGAGTTTAAATTTGCTCTAATGATGTTTGAGGTGCTGTCTGAGCTGATGGACATGTTTTATGGAAGAGAAGGATAAAACTTCAACTCAAAGTGAAGGATTCGTAGTTTAGCAACAAGAAACAGCTTCTATGTTTCAATTCATGGGGTGAAATTATGGAACAAGTTAAATGGGGAGTTAAAGTCAAAATTTTATACAATTTAAAAGGAGCTTTAGGGAGATGATTTTCACAAGATATAGAAATATGGGTGACTGTTGGCACTAATGTGTTTCTGTAAACTGAGGCGAAGGCATACGAGTGTTTGGGATGGATGTATACATTCAGACATATATAAAATATGTAAAATGGACAATTAACCCATTTTTATTTTTGATAGGATTTATTAACGAGGGTCCAACTGAAAATATTCTATGAGTTTATGGGGTCAGAGTCATAAGTTTCTTACGTCTGCCTGCTCCTTTTCCAGCTTGTTAAGATTACTGTGAGGTAATCTTAACATCGTGACCTCTGACCTCAGAGGTCAGGATGGAGCGACTGATATTCTGATAAAAGTATATCGATAATCTATTTTGCAGCCTAATGCCCACATAAAGCTTCAGAAATCTTTTTAAAATAACCTGCAGCTGTTTATTTTTTTCACTCATGTTCGCGCACTCCTGTTTGCTTTTGATGACGTCAGCAGCTGGAAGCAGTCAGCTGATCTGCTAACAGGGAGCTAACGTGGCTAAACAAAGATCCAGCTGACTGACTCGAACCGTAAAAATGTTTAAAAAAACATTAAATGCTTAAAACGAGACATTAAGTCTGCTGTATTAATAACGGATGAGATTAAATTAGTCGTGTGTTGAACGTGAAGTTAGCCTTTGTTTGGTTAGCGGCTGTTAGCTCCAGCTAATTGATTTCTCTGCGTCCAGCTGCGTTTTTTCTCCGGCTGCCTCTGAGTCTCACCTGAGGAGGGAAACTCACCTGTTCTTGTAGGCAGTAGACATGTCTGGCAGGTGACGCGCTGCTTCCCTTTCAGCCTTTCTCCCAGAAACGGGAATGAATTATTGGACTCAGGCAAGTTAGCCTGCTGGAACTTCCGCCTTCTCAGCCAGCAGGCAGAGCGACGGCGGGCGACGAGGGACAAATAAGCACATGACACCGCATTCAGTTTGCGTCGGAATCTGGAACACCGTGACGTCATAGTCATACACAGCTTGGACAGATAAAACTAATTGTGACCTGATCATAAATCAGTATGTGATTCAATAAGCTGTGTAAAGTATTTAGGCGTGTTTATTTGAGTAATGGCCGCCGCGTTTCTACCAGTGGCAGCCATATTGTTTTGATTTCGAAGATGATTAATAAATGTGTGTTGTAATTGGATTTCTGATGACAGTGGATGTTTTTGTGGTGGATTTAATCTGAAGTCAGTGAGAAGAAAACTGGCTGAATTAAAAACATGAAGTGTTATACCGCCATCTAGTGGCAGAGGGATATAAAATGAAGTGAACTCATCAGAAACAAGTTTAATTTAGCTGCTAAACATTCAAATATTAAAATTAAGGCCCATTTTTTCACACGCACTTCTTTCAACAGAAATTCTGAACGTTAGACATTATTAAGAGATTAAAAATGTTATTCATTTCAACTATTTCATGAAAATAGTTACATGTGAAAATGAATCTCAAAGGTTAGATGTGTAAGTAAATCAGGATAAACATTTAAATTCTGCTGTTTATTTCATTTTTAAAGAACATTTTTGCTGCTGTAATTTATTAACTTATTATTAAATCTCGGCTGAATATAATCCAAAAGCAGCAGCTTGTTTAACCACTCCATGTTTATTGCTTATTCATATTTTTACATTAAAGTCATGAAGCTACTGAGATCAACAGAAACGGAACCGTTTGTTTTTCATTTGGGATCGAACTCGTCAGCAGTGAGAATAAATCAACAATAACAGAAATCATCAGGATGAAACCAGAACCCATAAATAATCACAAACAGTCGAGTTTTCTGTTCACCTGCAAAACAATCAGACGGAAACGCTGCTCTTTTTCTGCTGGGTCCAAATACTGCGCAGGAGCCGGAACTGCTGATCAACCCCCGATCCGATCAGAGCGATTGGATCAATAACAGAACCAATGACAACAAGGAACCAAAACCCAGACTGGAGAAATCAGAGAAAACGTCAACAGAACCAGGAAGGGAATCAGAAAACAGAGAAATCCTGGTGAAGGTTCTGGGATTAACGGGATTATTTAACCCGACTGAAGTTCTGAGAACTGAACCAAGATGGAGGAGCATCTCTGGACCGGACCGGACCGGACCGCCGTTTCTGATTTCAAAAACATTATCATTATTTCATACTAATCTGTTCTCAGATCTCTGGAATAATCTCAGATATTCTGGATTATTCAGACATGCCAGCTGTCTTTCTAAGAGCAAAGGCTTGAATCTCTGAGGCTGTTTGGATCAGAACCAGACCAGAGTCCAAATGCGCTTCCCTGTTTGGGCTGAAAAATCCAGAACTCCACCAAACTGCAGATGTGAACATGATTTTAATGAGAAACCCGGTTCCGTTTGGACCTCCATCAGAAACATCAGAACGGGTCACGGGGAGTTTGTCTGATCCGTTTTCCAGTTCAGAGTGATGACGGTTCTGACTCGGGTCTTTCTGTCTCCTTCCAGCAGGACTTCCTGGTTTTGGACCAATCAGAGCCCAGAGAGCGACGCCCAGTCTGATTGGTTCTGGACAACCGGACCTGATGGTTCTGTTCAGGCTGGTTCCTAAAGTTCAAAACATTTTCAGTTTTCACACAGAGAGCGTTTGTCTCCCCCGGTGGCAACCAGTGACTCTGCGTTTTAAGAATGACTCAGCAGTTTCTCAGACGATAACCAAAGGAATCGAGACGAACAGGAAGGAAGTGAAAGGGAACCGGATACGACCCGGAAACGAGCCGAGTCACTGGGTCAAGCCTCTAATTGGTTCCTGTTATTTTAACTGGTTCCATTGGTTTGAACTGGTTCCGGTTCTGGTTCTGTCCAGGGCTGCTGGTGTGGATGGTCGGCGCTGACAGCAGATCATTTCCGTTTAAATATTGTGAAGTCATGAGTGTTTACAGCCGTTTATAAAACATCCACACAGTAAAAGAAGAAACCCACACTGAATATTTACATATTTAACAACAAGTCCAGCGCTGGACCGGGTCAGACTGGACCGGGTCAGACCGGACCGGGTCGGATCGCAGGCGCTAACAGAGGAGGAAAAACCAGTCCTATCTGAGAACTGGAGATCTGTGCTACTCCTCCACACACACACACACACGCACGCACGCACGCACGCACACACACACACACACACACACATACACACACACACACACACACACACAGCCCTCCCGACCCAAACATGGCGGCTCCTATGATGCGTTCGGGTTCAGAAGTCGCTCTGCTCTACGAAACAAGAGGAAACGGGAAAAGAAGCAGAAACCAGCCGGTTCTCCTCAGCTGGACCCGCTGCAGACGAGGAGTTCTGGTTCTGGTTCTGGCTCAGCCTCTCTGGCCGTAGTTGGCCTCCTGGCCGTTGTTCGTCTCCATCGGATCCTCCTTGAAGTTCTCACACTGCTCCATCACCTTCCTGGAGAACAGCAGGGGGCGCCATAATGAGTCCAAGGAAACTAAACAAACCCGACCGAACTGGACCGGACCAACCAGGCTACACAGAGTCAGATGTTCTGGCTGGAGGAAACAGGAAATGTTCAGTAAACCTGTTTCCATCTCACTGGCAGCTCACTAACTAAACCACCTACAGGGGGCGCAAGCACCTCTCGGCAATACCAGGTTATTTCAACATATGGATAAAATCATTGACAGAAATATGGCTAATGATGAAAGTGGTAAATTCAGCCTCTTAACTACATTATATTCATGTCAGAAACTTTGACTATGCAGCAGCTCCAGGTTTGGTTTAAATTCGTTTCTCTGACAGGAAGCGAGGTTTTAGGAGCGACTCCTTGTGATTCGTCTCTATGCAGACGACTCTGTTGTTGCTCCAGAAAGACAGCAGCGCTAAAGGTTAAGAATAAAAGTTGAGTCTCACCTCGCCATCTCCTTGGTCTCTGGCTGGGAACTCTCCAGCTCAAGAACTTTCTCCAAAAGACTAACGCCGCCTTCCTTTATCAGCAGCGGACAGTATTTACTGGCTGCAGACGGAAACAGACAGAAATAAATCACGGAATGAGTTAAACACTGAACAGTTAGCATCTGAAGCTAAAAGATCAGATTGTTCTACATAAATCTCATGAGCTGCAGCGTCAGGGCAGCGTTTACCCAGCAGTCATCATGTTGTCGTGTTCATCAGGTGGATACTCACGGTAAACCGACACCAGGTTGTAGAGCGCCCAGGTGGCCCAGTGCTGGCTGACCGGGGCGATGCTCTGAGGGAGCAGCCGCAGGATCGGCTCGAACGACCTGCAGGGCGAGACCTGACCGTCAGCACCAGGCAGCACACACAGCTTCTAATTACAGATCTAGATCTAATTACAGATCTAGATCTGCATTTCTACACAGTCTGGAGGTTTGATCCTCAACAAAAATAAAAACATCAGCTCACAACAAGATTCAGATTCAGCCTGGTTCTAACAAGACAGACCGATAGCAGCTCCTCCACTACTAATTGACCTTTGACCCTGACCTGTAGTTGATGTTGCGGCGGGAGCTGACGTCCCAGCTCTGGATGGCGTCCCACATCCTGTCCATGACGGCGTCGCGCCGCGGCTCCTCCATGCTCCACACCTGGGGCCCGTCGAACATGATGTGGGACAGAACGCCGCAGGCGTTGTAGGAGACCTCGATGCCGTCCGCCTTGCTCTCCAGCAGGTTGCTGCAGCGGAGGGAGGGTACAACGTTAGGACGCCCCCACGCCGCCCCTCGCCGCCCCCTGCTGGCCGGAGGACTCTCACCTGAACACGGTGATAAACTGAGGCGTGAGCAGCTGCGGCCGCAGAGACTTCACCTCCGCCACGTTACCCAGAAGCCCCAGCATGTTGCGGTGGAGCTCCTGCTTGTCTGGAAACTCCTGCAGATCAGAACCAGGTAAGACATCGGCTGCTCAGAGCTGCCGCTCTTCTCCACGGGTCCTCCAGGTGGCGCCTCACCTCCAGACACTCCAGGAAGAGGCTCATGCCGCGGCAGTTCAGGAACATCTGGCAGTTATCAGGCGTCTCATCGGTGATGTTCCAGAGAGCGCTCCAGGAGAACTCCATCACCTGGTCGCACTGCAGGCACACACACACACACACACCGTTACACACACACACACACACACCGTTACACACACACACACACACACACACACACCGTTACACACACACACACACACACACCGTCACACACACACACACACACACACACACACACACACACACACACACACACACACACACACACACACACACACACACACCGTTACACACACACACCAGCAGCCCGACGGGCCGACACTCACCGTTCGGTCCTGCAGCTTCTTCTGGATCAGGTTCAACATGGTCTGAGAGGAAACACTCAGTTAATAGCAAAACCAACAACTACACCTCAGTTCACTACATACAGGTTAATCCCAACCCTAACCCGGTGATCCTGGTGACCCCATTGACCTCATTGACCCCGGTATCCCAGCAGGCGTCCCATGCGGCGTTACCTTGACGAAGCCCATCTTGCCCACGGCCTCCTTGTGGTGGTTGTCCACCTGGCAGACCAGCGCGTTGCAGAGATGAACGGCGATCCTCTGGATGGACTCGTCCTGCCGGGCCGGCTCCAGGATCTTCAGCAGCAGCTGGTTGACCCGGCTGTACTGGAACTCCAGCTCCTCCGGGATGCTGAAGTTGCAGAGCGTCAGGCAGCAGTTCCTCTGCACCTGCAGCAGAGACGCCTCAGCACCATGGCCCCGCCCCCCGGTGGAGCCCCGCCCCCCTCCCCATGGTAGAACCCCACCCCCTGGTGGAGCCCCGCCCCGCTGGAGCCCCGCCCCGCTGGAGCCCCGCCCCCCCGCTGGAGCCCCGCCCCGCTGGAGCCCCGCCCCCCCGGTGGAGCCCCGCCCCCCTCCCCATGGTAGGAC